CTAGGTGGCAAAGTCAATGGACACATCAGCACAGATAAGCCAGGTCACATTAGTTTTTTAAGTCCGGCATCGGAGATAAACTTGATTGTCAAATTTGCAAAATTTTGAAACGTTGTTGTAAGTTTCTAACTTGGTTGTCATAATTGCAAAAAACTTGAAACGTTGTTGACAATATTGATTAATAGACCTTATAACTCCAAAGTATAAAGCACACAACTTGATAATATTAACTTCAATAATATTAAGAACAAGGTCAAGAACTGACCATAGTATATGTTCATAAGTTACAAACATTATCACTAGACGCAAAATATATATACATAATAATACCACTAGCATGTACAACTACCATGCACAAGTAAACATGACTTAAGTCCTCCAACCATTGACAATTAACCACCACCACCATATATATATACATCAAGTTAACCACCACCACCACCAAATACTTCAAGTGTTCAAGTTAACCACCACCATATACATCAAGTTATCATAAATCATCAGTTTACTTGAGAAACAACAAAATACCAAAAAAATTTTGAAACACTTCCTTCAAACAAAGATTGGATCTTCGATTCGATTCCCAACTTCCCTCTCTATCGGACTGTAGTTCGGGTTGTCATAGTCGATGATGTTGTAATTGGGGTCGACTATCATGACTGAGCTACCATCTGAAGAGGCCGAAGAGTCGGACGAGTCCGAAGATAACGAAGAGGCCGAAGAGTCTGTAGAGGACGAAGAGCCTGAAGAGTCTGACGATGATGAATAGTCTGAAGATGAAGATGACGAAGACGGCGAAGAAACTGCATAACTTGCATTATCAGAGGAAATATCAGATGATGATGATGAAGAAGAGAAAGGTATACCATAGCGACACAGTGAACATGAACAGTTGCATACAGCCTAAGAAGATGTTTGACGTGCAACACGAAGGTGCGAAGAGGACGGCGTAGCTACACGCCACCGGGCTGCGGAGGTAGATCTCCTGAAAGGGTGGTTTATTGCAGGTCTGCCCACATGGCCGCCTCTTTGCGCAGCTAGAATGCTTCGTGCGGCTTGAGCCCTGACAGTGGTGGAGCCTCTCTGTGCAGCTGGGCGTCGTGCAACAATGAATCTTAAGTATTCTTTACCACTTATAACTTATATAAGTATATAAAAGCGTGCGCATTATACACACGACACAATGTATAGTTTCTGGACTGAGGACTAGAGAGAGTCTATATATAGACTATAGTTACCTTAAATCAAATCCACAGTAATACAAGAAGAAGCCCCCACAAACAAGAAAGTGAACCTATTAGAGCATAAAGGAGACATATAAAGTAAAGAATGACAATAGTTAACAGCTCACCAAACTATTACAAATGCGCAATGTTGGAATTTGCAAAAAAGATTAAAAACAAACATTACAAATCATACAACCACTCACATCAATTCCAAAACCCTATTAACAAACCCTCACATCAATTCCTAAAAGAA